GAGGCAGGACAAAGTAGGTGTGCTCTAGAAAAAGTGGAAAGAACAGGCTGTGAAGTGAGGGTAAAAGCCAGTTAAGAGAAGATGAGGTTCAAAGGCAGGTTGGAGCTTGATGAGGAATTTACTGTAGAAACATTTGGCTCATCCTGTAAGCGGTGCCGGTTTCTGAGTGAGACAGTAGCATGATGAGATAGTTTATAAAAATGATCAGTGTACAGAGAGTGAAAATGAAAACGATGGTGACTGGCCAGACGAGGGGACACTGTTTGGAGAGATCAGTGGGGCCGAGGTGGGGAGGGACAAGAGGAAGGTGGTAAATGAGGAAGGATGAAAGGGTGGAGGGCAGCACCACAGAGGCACAGCTGAAGTACTCTGGCCTCCAGTCAGGCAGTTCTCAGAATGTCGAGATCACCAGCCATTCAAGAGGACCTCGTTCCCTGGTGGCAGGAGACTGAGGCTGGCTGCCTAAAAGGGGAGGTGGAAGTGGAAGACAGCATACAGCACAGGACAGAGACAGCTGGGGTAGTCTATGCAAAGTTAAACTGACTTACAGAGCCCAGATAAAGAGAATAAAAATGAGAAGAGGGAAAAAAATAAGAATCTCTATTTTAGATAAATCCCATATGGGTTATGCTCTTAATTTACTTAGAGCAGATGGCTGGACCTGGGACTGCCTAATTTATTACTGTCCTGCCATTCAGAGCCAGAGCTTTCCTTAGGTTCCTAAGCAACTCTGATGGAAATGTCAGATTGCATGAAATTTTCTGATTAGACCATGTGACCTAAGCACATTCCACAGAAAATGATTCGAATACTCAAATTCGCTTATCCTAGACCACAGCTGCCAGGTCTATTCCCTCCCAACTCACAGCAGATGGGGGGGTGGGCCTTCCCCTATGTGCAGACAGTATGGTGGGAGTTCTAGGAATAAAAAAGACCAAAATAGAGGGTGGGAGAGGATTTGGAAGGAAGCTTAAGAATCTGGTATTTCAGATTCTCTCCTGTTATCCTATTGCTTTCCAAAATTTTCTGTAAGGAAAGGAAAGTAGCAAAGCACTTAAAAAGAAGCATTCAAATTTCTCAGGCAATTAAGCAGCCTCTGAGTCAGCAAACTCATCAACGAAACTGAGTAACATTTGAGACAGCATGAAGAGAATTAAAAAAGTATGAACAGAATCAGGAGCTAGGTTGGTTTACAACCTGAAGAGGAAAGCACAATGATTTTAAAAAGCTATAATTAACATTTTTGGAGGAAGAGTCACCATGTGCCAGGTTCTGTAGGAATTATTATTGCAGATGAGAAAACTGAGGATTTAAGTTCAGTCCTACAACCAGGAAGGGTACTGTTTCAGGTCAGTCCTATGGATCTGTCAGAACGTAAGAAAGGAGTTGGCTAGAAGAGTGAAGGGCAGAAAGCCGCAAATGCCAGAACTAAAGAATGCAAGGTGTTCCTCTGTGACATTTCTTTGGAGAAGAGCACACAGTTCAGGCTAACAGAAGTGACTGCTTAGGGCAGAAGAGAGCATTTGCCAAATGCAACGGGGTACCCTGTATTGGATCCTGCAACAGAGAAAAGACATTAGAGAAATACGAAAAAAAGTCTGGGGTTTAATTAAGAGCAATGTACCAGTATTGGGTTCTTAGCAGTGATAAAGTTACCATAGTGATGGGAGATGCAGGTAAGGGATATAGAGGAACTCTCTGTACCATCTTGTAACTTTTCAGTAAATCTGACATAATTCTAAAATAAAATTAAAAGATTATATAAATATTTTTAGGGGGAAAAAAGAGTATTTGTGACATGTTTACATTTTTCAGAACAGTACCATTTTTTTCTTAAAGATTTTACTTTTAAGTAATCTCTACACCCAATGTGGGGCTCAAACTTAACAACCCTGAGATCAAGAGTTGCATGCTCCACTGACTGAGCCAACTAGGTGCCCCCAGAACAGTGCCATTTACATGCAAGTGGCAATGGCAGCGTTTTTTGTGGCTGTTCATATTTCTTGGCAGACAAGATTATTACTAATGACAATCAGAATGACTAACATTTTGGAGCACTTATAATATCCAGCCTTTGTCCAGCAGACATTACACACATTCCCACATGTCATCTTCAAGACAATGCTTATAAACTAAGTAGGTGCTATCATCATCCTAACTTACAGATTAGAAAAGCCCTTAGAATAGTGCCTAGAATCTGGTAGTCAAAAATCAGGGATATCTATCTATCCATCTATTTTTACTATAGAAGCTAAGAAACTGGCCAGCCTGAGAACAACACAGTAACAATTCAAACCAAACTCTAAAAGGCTTCCAAACCTGGCACAAAAACAGACACTCAGATCAATGGAACAGAATAGAGAACCCAGAAATGGACCCACAAACATATGGCCAACTAATCTTTGACAAAGCAGGAAAGACTATCCAATGGAATAGAGACAGTCTCTTCAGCAAATGGTGATGGGAAAACTGGACAGCGACATGCAGAAAAATGAACCTGGACCACTTTCTTACACCATACACAAAAATAAACTCAAAATCGATGAAAGACCTCAATGTAAGACAGGAAGCCATCAAAATCCTCGAGGAGAAAGCAGGCAAAACCCTCTTTGATCTTGGCCACAGCAACTTCTTACTCAACACGTCTCCAGAGGGAAGGGAAATAAAGCAAAAATGAACCATTGGGACCTCATCAAAATAAAAAGCTTCCACACAGCGAAGGAAACAATCAGCAAAACTAAAAGGCAACCGACAGAATGGGAGAAGATATTTGCAAACAACATATCAGATAAAGGGTTAGTATCCAAAATCTATAAAGAACTTACCAAACTCAACACCCAAAAAACAAATAATCCACTGAAGAAATGGGCAAAAGACATGAATAGACACTTCTCCAAAGAAGACATCCAGATGGCCAACTGACATATGAAAAAATGCTCAACATCACTCATCAGCAGGGAAATACAAATCAAAACCACAAGGAGATACCACCTCACACCTGTCAGAATGGCTAACAACAGATGTTGACGAGGATGCAGAGAAAGAGGATCTCTTTTGCACTGCTGGTGGGAATGCAAGCTGGTGCAGCCACTCTGGAAAACCGTATGGAGGTTCCTCAAATAATTAAAAATAGAACTACCCTATGACCCAGCAATTGCACTACTAGGTATTTATCCAAGGGATACAGGTATGCTGTTTCGAAGGGACACATGCACCCCAATGTTTATAGCAGCACTATCCACAATAGCCAAAGTATGAAAAGAGCCCAAATGTCCATCAATAGATGAATGGATAAATAAGATGTGGTATACACACACACACACACACACACACACACACACACACACACACACACAAGAGTATTACTTGGCAATCAAAAATAATGAAATCTTCCCATTTGCAACTATGTGGATGGAACTAGAGGGTATTATGCTAAGTGAAATTAGTCAGAGAAAGACAAATATCATATGACTTCACTAACATGGACTTTAAGACACAGAACACATGAACACAAGGAAAGCAAAAATAATATAAAAACAGGGAGGGGGACAAAACATAAGAGACTCTTAAATATGGAGAACAAACAGAGGGTTACTGGAGGGGTTGTGGGAGGGGGGATGGGCTAAATGGGTAAGGGGCATTAAGGAATCTACTCTTGAAATCATTGTTGCACTATATGCTAACTAATTTGGATGTAAATTAAAAAAATAAAATTAAAAAAAATTTTAAAAGCTTCCAATCCCAACCTTGCCATTTACTAATGCTATGGTTTGGGCAAGTTTGTAAACAAAAGAAAGCTAATATCAGGGAGTGGATTTAAAAGTTTTTTTGAGAAATAACAAGTGTTGGTGAGGATGTGGATAAAAGGGAATGCTTCTGCACTGTTGGTGAGAATGTAAACTGGTGCATCCACTCTGGTAAACAATATGGAGGTTCCTCAAAAAATTAAAAATACAACTACCATATGATCTAGTAATTGCACTCCTGGACGTTTATCCAAAAAGAACAAAAACACTAATTGAAAAGATTTATACACTCCTACATTCATTGCAGCATTATTAACAATAGTTTAGATAAGGAAGTAACCCACTGATAGATGAATGAATAAAGAAGATACCACACACACACACCACACACACATACACACACACGAATATTATACAGCCATAAAAAAGGATGAACTGTTGCCATTTGTGACAATATGAACAGACCTAGATGGTATTGCGCTAAGTGAAATAAGTCAGAGAAAGACAAATACCATTAAGATTTCACTTATATGTAGAATGTGAAAAACAAATGAACAAACAAATAGAAACAAACTCATAAATATAGAGAACAAACTAGTGGTTGCCAGAGGGGAGGTGGGTAGGAGAACAGGCAAAATAGGTAAAGGGGACTGAGAGGAACAAACTTCCAGTTATAAAATAAGTAAGTCATGGGAATGAAAAGTATAGCATAGGGAATATTGTCAATAAAATTGTAATAACTTTGGGGGCACCTGGGTGGCTCAGTCGGTTAAGCATCCAACTCAAGTTTTTTGGCTCAGGTCATGACCTCATGGTTCGTGCAATTGAGCCCCATGTGGGGCTCTGCACTGATAGCACAGAGCCTGCTTGAGATTCTCTCTCTCTCTCCCTCTCTCTCTCTCTCTGCCCCTCCCCTGTTTGTGCAATATCTCTCTCAAAATAAATAAATAAACTTAAAAAAATAATGAAGACAATTGTTTATTATATATTTTTAAATTTTTTATTAAACTTACTTGAATAATATGAAAACACCCAGGCTACCATAGTGTTGTCCTGGGAGGTCAATAAAAAAATTCCATATATACCTTTCTTAAGAATCCTTGGCTACACCTCCAAATACAAGAACGAAATAAGAGCAAGCAGAGACAGTAAGGGAAACTATTAGCCCCCAGTAAGCACAGAAGCCACTAGGAAAAGAATGCTTGCAAATTTCTTTAGGGGTCAAAATGACTACAGTTCATTGGACCAGGCAGATTCCCATAACGACAAGCATTTCCTTAGGAGGGGAAAGTGGAAGAGGCAAATTATGAAGACAGTTTTGTGATGGCTGGGGTGGAAATGTCAGCAGGCAGAGGGGGAAGATTGGTTGGTGGTCAGCAGCCTTTGTTCATCTACATTTAATTCAACCCAACTGCTCTTTATTCAATATTTTCTTAGTGTCAGGATGATGTTAAACTCTGAGAAAGACACAAAGGTGAAAAAAGTAAAACAATGCCTAACTTCAGCAAGTTTACATCTAGTGGTATATTTCACCAGAAGAAAATAAGCAAACATGTGGCACAGGGGAATACCTTGAGTCTGAATCTTCTCTCCACCTCTCACTCCACACCTGGCCCAAGTTGTAGACTCTCTTCAGACCTCAGTAAGAATAATGTAATTAATATTTGCCTCGGAAGATGGTGAATACTGAAAAGGAGGAAAATGTCTATAATGTCTGACACAGAAAGAAGAGTTCCATCATAAATCAATATATATATTTTTTTACCCAACAAAAAGAGACAAATCTCTTATACCCCCAGTCACCCAACTCTTCATTTCAAACTAGACCTTGTCTCAAATGACTAGAAAGGGAGGTCACAGCAGAGTGTTAAGAGAAGAATTTTTGGTTTCAGAGATTGTAGGAGCCCAGGTTCAAAGAGTATAAAGACTACTGAGTGGGGACAGTAGTTCAAGAACGGACTTTGGGCGGCACCTGGGTGGCTCAGCCGGTTGGGCGTCCAACGTAAGCTCAGGTCATGATCTCATGGTTTGTGTGTTCGAGCCCCACATCGGGCTCTGTGCTGACAGCTCAGAGCCTGGAGCCTGCTTCGGATTCTGTGTCTCCTTCTCTCCCTGCCCCTCCTCCACTTGTGCTCTGTCTCTGTGTCTCAAAAATAAATAAATGTAAAAAAAAAATTTTTTTTAATGGACTTTGGAACCTTTCCACATTATTATGTCATCCATCTGCTCCCAACCTATCCCCAAAGATGGAGGTGCTGAGATCCAAACTATACATTGCTGACACCAAGCTTCTTACAACCTTAAAAAGTGCAAGCCCTTTCTAATCTATCTGCATAGACCTTCCCCACTCCCTTACCTGCCTAAAATGTGATACCTAGCACTTCTGGGCCCAAAACAGGTTGAGAAAACAACAAAACCCTAAGCCTGGAGGCATATAATTTATTCATTGATTCAACAAATATTTATTCAGCCCCTACTGTGTGCTCTGGAACATTTTCTTCTCCCTGCATTCCTGGGGCTGCCTCTCTCTATTCTACCCTTGCTGACACTGCAAACCTCTAGTTTATAATCTATTTACTGTTCCTTAGCCAATATCTCACCTCCTGACATGCGGGTCTACCATCCTTTTCTTCCACAATAGAATATTGTTCTGTTACACTCCTGTCCCCCAGGCTTTACTTCTTTCTTCCTGGCTGAATTCAAAGCTCTTAATCCCTTCATTATTCAGCTCCTCTTGGTTCTCTGCCTGCTCTCAACTCACCCATACCACAGCCCCTGAAAAGAGCAAATGGGGCTGTAATTCATTTGCTTGTGATGAGTCAACTTGTGAGCAATCTAACTCAACAAATTCTGTAAAAGTAATAATAGTAACAATAATAACCAGCACTTAAGACTGAGATTAGGGATAGGTTACAGTCATTAGTAATGACTAAGTCCAAGAACTAACTGTGGGAGTGAGTACATGAGGTAGGGTAGGGGCAAGGTCATTGGAGAAGGGGAATCTAAAGAAAACCAAGATAATGAAAAAATAACTTATGAGGATAAAACAATCATCAAGAAGTATGGCAGAAGTAGTGCAGGACAGAGGGATCTGGAGCTAAAATTTTAAGGAACGAGGGTGTGTGTTAGAAGAAGGAGGTAATAGAAGACTACAGGTAGGGTATAGCCTGATGACTTGAGAGTCAGAATTGGTTAGGAGCTCTGAGGGGTAAGGGGAATGCTCTGGAAGCAGTAATAAGGATAACCCCCTGTCTTAGTCCATTCACTCTGCTGTAACAAACTACCATTGACGTGGTGGCTTATAAACAACATTTATTTCTCATTGGAAATCCAAGATCAAGGCACTAGCAGAATCTGTGTCTGGTGAGAACTAGTTTCCTGGTCTATGGATGGCTATCTTCTCCTTTGTCCTTATGAGGCAGAAGGGGCAAGGGAGCTCTCCAGAATCTCTTTAATAAGGGCACTAATCTCATTCATAAGGGCTTCGCCCTTATGACCTAACCACCTACCAAGGGCCCCACCTCCTAAGAACATCACATTGGGGGCTAGGTTTCAACATTTGAATTTGGAGAGAGACAAAAACATTCAGTCTGCAGCACCCACCCTGCTTGTGGGCCCATGATATGAGGAGTGTGGGAGGAAAAAAAAGCCATCAGGAAAGGAACCAGTGTTTTCAAGAGAGCCAGGTCACCACTGTAGCAAGAAGCTGAAGAGAGTATCCAAGAAGTGAGGTAGAGGGAGGATGCCATGAAGTCACTGTGGAAGGGTTTCAGAAGTTGGGGAGCAGTGAGACATGGCATCAGAAAAGGGGCATAGGAGGCCACGTGGAGATCAGAGTCCAAAGAATGAGAGATGACCTGGGGGACCAAGGCTGACATTAAGGGGGGAGAGAGGCATGATGGGATTAACACAGGCCCCCAGGGCCAATAGCAGTGGCAAAGCTGTACATATTAGGGGCCAAGAGTGAGGGTTTTCCAGGAACACTCAGAGTTCTTGCCCAGTGCAAATTCATAATCTGTTAGGGGAGACCCATACATACTGACAGAAAAATGCACCCCAGATTACTTCTGGAATTCAAAGACTATGGAAGCCCATCAGAAGGCCACTCAACTCAGAGAAGGCCAAGGAAAATGAGATGGGAGTGGGGGGTGGGGTGGAGAATGGAAAGACAATTCCATAAAACTACCACCACCACAAGAAAATAATTGAGATGCTCCTCCTATGGCAATGAGTGTACTGCACTTGATCTTAGCCAAAAGGCCAAGAAGTGGTGCAATGAGACTTTGTATAAATGGACCACAAGTTTAATTTTTTTTTTTTTTTTTACATTTTATTTATTTTTGAGAGAGAGAGAGAGAGACAGAGCACAAGTGGGGGAGGGGCCGAGAGAGAGGGAGACACAGACTCTGAAGCAGGCTCCAGGCCCCGAGCTGTCAGCACAGAGCCCGATGCGGGGCTTGAACCCACGAACCGTGAGATCATGACCTGAGCCAAAGTCAGTTGCTTAACTGACTGAGCCACCCAGGCACCCCCACAAGTTTAAAATGTAGTGCAATATTTTAGATTCACACTATTTGAATAGTCTTTGATCTTGCAGATTGAAATGTATTGCTTTTGGCTAGAGAACTCTGCAAGATTACACAGCAAAGGGTGAATATATATTATCTTTAATGTAAGTTGTAAAATTCTACATAGATGGAAGTTAGAGATTTTCTGAGGGTAAAAAGTAGGAAACATTTTAAAATTAAAAGTCTAATATATTCATTCCTATCTTTTTATTACTTAAGATGTCTGAAATTATCTCCAGTATTTGGGGTGATGGGAACAGGGGAAAAATTAAATTGATGGACCATTCCCTGACTCCCACATTTAAACTAGCCATACTCCTTTTATGTCAACATTTGTTGAATGCTCAGATGTATCTTATGTAACCCTCATAACCCAAAGATGATAATTTCCATTTTACTGACAAAAAATCTAATGCTTAGAAAGATAAAAACACTTGCCAGCGTCCCACAGTGAAGAGCTAAAGGAAATTCACAATTCTGTTAAAACAACTGTACTTACCTTACACCATGATACAGTCACATTTTTAAGTTTTTAAGCTATTGGTGTTGTCGATACAAGTCACTGATTCACTTACCTCTTTCAGTGGTTTCAAGGAAGAACTCCAGTCGATTAGACCAGAAAAGGTTTTTACATAAAGTTGGATAAAATATAATGGGAAGAATCTTTCAGGAATTCTGCTGATTACAGGCTAGTTTAGCAAAGCGAAGTACAATTGTGTTCAGTAGAAGAAAAATATTGGAGACAGGTTGACAAGTTTGGCCAGCCAGAAAACCCTAATGGGAACACGTGTTATCACACCATGACTAGAGAGCTGATGTTGAAAATTGGCTTAGTCTGCATAGCATCCTCATTTAAAAAACAAGCAAATAAAAAAGACATCAGTCGACCCATAGAGATGGCCTACTATTCAAATGTAGAGCACTGGGACACCCGGATGGCTCAGTCCATTGAGTGTCTTGACTTCAGCTCCTGGGATCAAGCTCTCAGTCTGGCTCCATGCTGAGTGTAATGCCTGCTTAAGATTCTTTCTCAATGTGTCTCTCTCTCCCCACCCTTCTCCCCTGCTCGTATGTGCATTCTCTCTCTCTCTCTCTCTCTCTCTCTCTCTCTCTCTCTCTGAAGAAAAATGTAGAGTATTTACTCATGTTAGATCTATGAGAACATGTTTTACAAACACAAAAAAGTTCAATCAGGAGTGATGAGACAACCATATATCAATCTGCATCAACATTTATGGAATTCAGATAAAAAATCTGCAGAGCCCTAATGCAGGTCAGATGAACCCCAGGATTTTGTGAGACACACTTTAAACACCTAAATCAATTAAAAACTATTAGTATTCCTTTGCATGGCTATCCTATGTATTATTTAAATAATGCCCTACATGTGGGGAGTTTGGTTAGTTCTATTTTTCCCCAATGAAAATAACACTGTAATTAATACCCTTGTATATATATTTTGGCATAATTCGTTGTTTCCTTAGAAAAAATTCCTAGAAATGCTGGGTCAAAGCACAGATGTATTTTTGAACTTTTTGGTAGACATTGCCAAAATGCCCTCCACATATTCAAATACTGGGTTGAGATTTCTAGCTCAGTGAAAGGAATAAAAGGAAGAGATTAGTTTAGGGATCCTGGGTTTTAACCCTAGCTTCACCACTTGTTAGCTGTGTGGCCTTGGGCAAGTTACTTAACCATTCTGTGTCTCTGTTTCCTTACCTATAAATTGGGTATAATCAGTTCTCACCTCATAAAGTTGCTGTTAAGAATTAAATAAACTAGGGGTGCCTGAGTGGCTCAGTCGGTTAAGCGTCCGACTTCGGCTCAGGTCATGGTATCACGGTCTGTGAGTTCGAGCCCCACATCGGGCTCTGTGCTGACAGCTCAAAGCCTGGAGCCTGCTTCGGATTCTGTGTCTCCCTCTCTCTCTGACCCTCCCCCATTCATGCTTTGTCTCTCTCTGTCTCAAAAATAAATAAAACATTTAAAAAAAAGAATTAAATAAACTAATGTGTATAAAGCTCTTAAAACAGAGACTGACTTATAGTATGCCTTACATAAGTGTTCACTATCATAATTATTCCTGGTTCTTAGACATTGGGATTTCAAAAGCCAATT